ATATATATATATATATATATATATATATATATATATATATATATATATATATATATATATATATATATATATATATATATATATATATATATATATAATAAGTTCATCAGAAAAAATAAGTCACATCCGCTTCGAGCAAGGCGACATGAACGTAATGAAGTCTAGCTAATCCAAGTAGCCAATCCGTTATCACGTTACACAGATATATGTTCATGTTTCACCATTTGTACAGCCAGATCGTTTGCCCCTCCCCCTGGGGGCCTCCATTCCTTGATATTGCCCGAATCAACATGTGTTATTTATTTTATCATGATATTGAACAGACATCCACCATGCACAATTACACCTAACATACATCTCTCACACCCGCTCTGTCACAAAATAACAGCACTTATATTCGAAATATGCAATATTTTATTTCATGTATTTATTACAAGGGACACAGACGTGCAATTGCTCGTGTCAACTTTTGCCATGACCGCGATTCGGGCCCGTAGCTATTTTTTCATGGTTTTTTCAACGGACTTGGTAGCGTACCATGTATCATTCTGATTCTCAGTCCCGACCTCTCTTATCTCAGGTAGAGATTAACAGACATATTCCTGTTATAGGCGTTATTTTTTACGTTCACCCCTTAGAGGCGGACCATTCGATATCCTGGGGGCGGCAGGAAGACTGAAATGAAGCCTACATTTTTTCCCTATGGATTTTTTTTTTTTTTTTTTGCACTCAACAGTTTATATTTTTTTCAGTATTTTAAAGCGGGGGGAGTCATTACCTGCGCATGCGTCAGATGGCCATAGCGTGTCATTGTTTACAAACAAGCGTCTACCCATGAGCCTTTGCGTTTTTAAGCGTGTGTTGTTATCGTCGCTTGGGACTCAATTCCCGCGCGTGCGCAGGTGACGACTCTCCCGTTTAAGTAAAGTAGACGACTTTTATAATAGCCCTCTTTGACATCATGAACGGGTTTTGCTGTCAGTCCACCTCCTGGATGTCTTCTCTCTTCCAAACCACGATCTTCCAAACCAGGCTTCTAACCAGCACACTCTAAACTACTTGACATGTATTTACCGACCCACCTGAAAAAATTCTAGACCATTCTGGTAAAGGAGGAGAAGGAAGCGTTTGCAGATATCAAACCCTTGGCTGGAGAAGAACGTCAGGCTCTGGATGTTGAAAAACTAAGGCAATTCCTCAAACAATCGAGGAAAAGAGTGCAGGACCCCCGAAAGGGCAGAAAACGCACTTCTAGCCTTAAATAAACCAGTGCTTTGGCACACAAACCAAATGGCTCTTTTCAGGGCCACCACTTCCTCCCAAAATAGAACTACCGTTATTACTATTGACTCTGTTCATACAATCAATAACACAAAACGCAATAGACACTTCTCACGTAAGAAAAACATTGCAAGATGCAAACGAATAAAAAAATACAAAACTGGCTAAAAATAAACGGTTGGCTGATCAAGCTCAGTTGGCCTCAAATTTTATTCGGAAATTTTCGAGTAAAATTCTAACCCCAACAGAGGTCATTGTCCTTGACAACGGACTCAAATTTATACCAACCTCACCTAAACCAACTTATCACACTTTGCTCAGAGACATGTCTATGCTATCTAGGAGAATACGTATCAAATATTTAATGCGCAATAAACAATCTCAACAACATCCTTTCAAAATGAAACCAACATGGAACCCACCAGACTCACATGACAGTAGCCTCAAAAATTACATTGAGGCAACCAAAGTTGAGATATCCAAAATTACTACTAATAAACCCAAACAAAACATGAATTTTGCCGAAAGAGCAACAATAAATGATAACACAATTGTAATAAAACCACTCGAGAAAGGGCGTGGAATTGCAATCATGTATACAACTGACTATATATATGTCAACGAGTAATATTATACTAAAATTAGTGGTAACGATACCATAGTTACAACTAATTTGGTCCATGAGCTCGTTACAGAAATGGAATTAATCGATTGCGACACGTATACATATAAAGACCCATCAAACTACAAAGTTAGAACGCTCCGGTGGTATTTACTGCCTAAAGTACACAAACTACCACCAGAGGGCAGTATATTATTCGGTAGACCAATAATCAGTCGGTGGTTGCTCTGGTCCGACAGAGAAAATATCAGAATTGGTTGACCACTTTTTAATTCCAATCGTTAAAAGGAAACATACATAAATCGAAGATACTACTGATTTTATTAACAAAATCGAAAAAATACAAGTATCTGAAAATAACGTCCTAGTAACCATGGATGTCGTATCAATGTATACTAATACTGTGGCACGAAGAAGCGATCCGAGCAACCGTTAATGCAATGCAATGTGGAATTAGAATCGGATCACCATCTTCACCTGAGATTGCTGACATTACATTCCACCTACAGGAGAATCAGATTTTACTACTTGGTGATCGATATATTAAAACTTGGTATCGTTTTTGAGATGTCATCTTCATGGTATTCAAATGTGCCGTACCTGAATTACACAAATTCGTTCAGGAAGCTAATATGCTTCATAACAAATACTGGCTCACATTTGAATACTCCATGACGCATACCAAGACAACGGAAAAGTTTCAATATTTGAAACGTAATTATTGTCACCCAACATCAGTATCCAAAGGATTTATTAACTTAAAAAGCGAAACCATTCGGTATGCTCGAACATGTAATAATCTAAACGATTTCTTACATAAACCTAATCTATTTATTTAATGAGACACTCTTCAATTAATGAAAATGACAATCGTATCTCACATTTATGTGAATCAATGCTTAATAATGAAGGGCAAACAATATTCACAACTACATTCAACCCTTATATACTAGGGTCTAAGCTCAAGGAAGCCCTTGCATTTCGTAGAAATACTAACTTGAAAGATAAACTTACAAGTTCCACTCTACGTACTGACAAACTGCTGAAAAAAACGACACACCAAACGACGAAGAATTACTTTCCATTTTAACTTAATTGTATAATGAAAGTAATAACGTCGAACATTCTGAAAGCGAAATAAATCGAACGATTCGGTCAATTACTGTCCCGAAACAGCACCATCACACTAGTGAATAATCCAATTACGGATGAATTTGAGTGCTGTATCGACATAGGCTTTCTTCGTATTCAGTTTTGTATTCCATTATTGTTTCCGTGTTTACTTCTATCGGGATCACAACTGAAATATTTTAACACGGAATAATACATCTGTTACGTATTCAGTTAGCTAATGCAATACTGCCCTCAGTCGGTGAGATGTTCGTCAATCCGCAACCCCCATCGATAATGAATGCATTGTTAGAAACAGTTTATACAGAAATACAGCAGAAAGTCATTGTGAAAGAACTGTTAAACAACATAGTTGATGAAATTGTTGAGGGAAAGGATCAATAAAAGTCATTCTTTAAAAATATTATTTTTTGTCAGTTCTTGTCTTCATTTTTTTTTCAGGGGGTCTGAAAGTTTCAGATGTTTTCTACATGCATATAGTGTTAGGATTTTTTTATTCAAGCATTGTCATAGAATTTGTTTTCACAAAATCTTCCTGGCCCGTAACAGGATATTAAATGGTCCGCCCCTTATTGTCAAGGTGGCGATACATGTGTACAGCTGATTTGTAGCCAAATCGCCAACGTTCGTAACAACTGCGTTTCATCGCCACTAGCAATCAGTGTCACGAGAGTTTTTCGCCAGGGGCGGATACAGGATTTTTTTATGGGGGGGGGGGTCCAAACTTTAAAATCGCCAGACTAAGTTAATGATTTTTTTTATATTAAATTGAAATAAATTTTTCAACGGGGGGTCCGGACCCCAAGAACCCCATATACCCGCCACTGGTCTCGCCATTTATACACTCCCATATTTTTTGTCTACAGTGGACCGTAATTTTACTTGGTTGTTAAAATAACTTACAAGCAAACATGCGCAGATTTAGGGGGCTCGCCCCCTTCAGCCTGCAAAACAAAAAAAGTCAAATCAATTGACAAATCAAATGCGCGGCCACGTCAATAGCAGCCCCCCCCCCCCGCCACGAATTTCTGGACCCGCCAGTGGCAGAAGCTCCCCATTTCATTATTCCCCCTACTGTGATACTATATATTATAACAAGTTATTGGTATCTATACAAATGTGTTCTTCTAACGTGATCTTATTTTCTGTGATGCTTGTAATTTTTAGTTTAAAAATTAGTGGAAAGGGTTTTGGTTAACTTCCGAGTCGCAGACTACTTGTCGGCATGTGCCCCACGTCTCTGGAGTAACTCACCGCAGATGGCGCCAGACATTTTACGATGTCTTTCATTTTCATTTTCAATGTGGTTCAACCACAGCTGAACCACATTGAATGAGAAACGAGTTAAAAAAAGATTCATTTTACAATGATAGTTGAACTTTTTGGTATTACTCGAGTTTCATGAGTCGACACAATAGATAAAACATTTCTCGTGTCACTGACATTTGTAAGGCGCATGCTCAGTGTGATGTGGAAATCAAAATGGCTGCCTCCAGTGGAAAGGGGAGAGTATGTGGTCCATCGGAATCTGACGATAGGTAACCAGCTACACTTTTTTGACAAGTTATTTACATTACGCGGGTTCATTGTACATGGTTTCCAACTACATTCAGCAGTTTTGTTACTCGTATACTAATTTCATGACCTTAACTTGTTTCGAAAGTACATCGAACTCTGGTTACCAAAAAAGAAATTGCAGAATGACAATGAACGAGTCGTCGGGGACTGAGCTGTAAGTGTTCGGTCTCCGGGGAGTCGGTCTTGTTTCTGAAACCCCACACGTTAACCACTTATGTCAAATGAAATTATAGATAAATAGTTTATAAAAGTCACAGTCCAATCTTAGAATTTTTTGGATATTTTTTTATACTTAGTACATTTTTGTATCTGGTGGCTTTGTAGTGATCTTCATTGCACATCACATTCTCGCATACCCTTGCTCTTATATATTATTACGAGAATATCTCAAAGTATTGACTGACGTGCAGCAGAGGTCAATGCACGATGTACTGTCTGAGTGCATACTTTGAGGTATTCTCATAATAACCTTATTATTATACATCGTTACCTTCAAAGGATACATCATGAGAATGCCAAATTCCAAAAGTTTAGAACAGAATCAGCGAACATCTTTGTGCGGAGTCAGGTCAAACCCTGATGGCAACCATGTTTGTTTTTATTATTATTATATATATATATATATATATATATATATATATATAGAGGACGCTTATGCACATAATCATTCCATATTTGGAATTTGCATTTCCTTGTATGGTAGGATGAAAATACCCTTTAAAATAACGCAAAATTACGGCATGCTGTAACTTGTAGCGTTACAGTGACTGATGTATAATAATATGTATCACACCGTTACATCGACCTGTGCTGCGCGTCTGTCGATACTCCCGTTATACTGTCTTCGTGCATACTCTGAAGTATCCTCGTAATCTCTTCTTATTATCAACAAATGCAAGATTAATCACAATATCACAAAACATCAATACAATTTTGTAAATTCAAATGCAAGAAATAAAACCATGTTCATCTCAGACTGCGGTTTGGCTAGTTTCCTGTCTTCGAACAGCATGTAATATGTGCAATGTTTGCAATGTTTTTGAATGCGATGATAATCTCACAAAACAATTTCCTCATTGTTGAAGAACAATTCAGCAGGTGTTTTGCCATGAATAAGTTTGGATAGTAATACAGCTACTTACCTTGGCTTAACCATAGATAAACACCTCACTTGGAAACCTCACATAAAACATGTGTTAGCTAAAATACCACCATTTATAGGCTTAAATTCAAAATTACGCTACTTCTTTCCAAGGTTCCTTCTCATTCGACTTTATAACTCCTCAATTCTCCCACATTGATTTTATGGTTTAGAAGTATGAGGTAATACTTACCGCTCTTCCCTCGATCCAATTTATAAACAAACAAAAAAACTGGTATGCATTATATAATGTTTAAAGACGGACAGACTCACTCACAGCAGACCTTTCTTTAATTCTCTGGGTTTTCTTGACATTCATGACCAACACAAGCCCCAGTTAGCATGTTTTATTCTTAATCTGTACAACAATAATACTCCCATTAATCTAAGTAACTATTTCTCTTTTCCTGGCCATTCATACCAAAATAGATCCTTGTCAAATGAAAACTTTGCCTGCCCACATAAAAGAACTACCATTGGTCAATTTGTTCTCTGGATCATTATAGAACCAAATTGTGGAATAGCCTTCCTAACCATATTAGAAATATTTCCAATCACACTACTTTTAAGCAAACATTAAAAGAACATTTAGCCGACTCACATATTTAGTTTTCTATTTACATACCTGTGATGAAAAACAACTACCACCTGAACATTATTGTCAACTGAGTCTATTGCATCTATATTTATATTTATTGTTATTTCTATTAGATTGTATAAATGTAATATTATTCCTTCTTAACAAAATACCCGCTGAAATGATTATTTACCTCCATCATTATTCAGGAGCAGACTAGTCTAGCTTCACCTAAGCTCATCTCATATAGTTTAATTTAATGTGGATTTTCTTATGATTTAATGTGAGTTTTGCTTTGATTTTAATAGCTATATTGCCTCTAGCATGATGGTGAATGTGGAGTGTAAAATAAGCGAATGATTTCGGTCACATGTAAACGTTTGATGCGATACGATATCCACCATGTTTTTTCATAAACTAGATGACCTGAAACTGTGTTCTTTGACCTAAAAGGTGAAGTTGCTAATTAACCAATCAAAATGCTGGATGGTGCCAACGTGTTCAAATTACTATAGCTCATTTAAATTTGCTAATGACAGTTCAGGAACTTCATGGTGAACACAACATGGAAGAGATTTACTGATGCTGTAGTGCGATCGTTTGGCTTTGATTTTGATGGGGAAAACGTCATAGTTTTTTTTAATCAAGAAATTAATTGTTTTAAAAAGATAAACTGAGCATTGATGGAGAATTTAAAATTTTTTAAGAAACAAAGTTTACCCATTTACTTTATTTCCCTGCCCCTTCTCTGTTCATGTATGTTTGATGCTGCTTACATACATGTACTGTGTAAAATTTGATGCATGTTAATATTACATGCACACATTGCAATGCAGAAAACAATTACTGCAAAAAACAGTTACCTGCTGCCTTTATCTGTTGAATTCAACTGTGATTGAATCTTTATTTAAAAAAAAAAATACTGTTTTGATAGAATTATATTTTGATCGTGAAAATACTTCACAACAGAAATAGCCTGACATGTTATGAAAATTAGTTGCGCCCTCGCTGGCTGAACGGCATCACACCTGACAGAATAGTGTATGTCTTGTTGTCAAGATAAATACTGCGAATTCGCAAAGTTCACGCCTTCTTGCAATGAATTTCAATGAATATTCATTTTGGTGGCCATCGTAACACCACGCGAAAGGTGCAACTCACACGACCTTGTCAGGCTATATCAGACTGTGTCTTTCCTTTGCAGATGAGATGATAAGTTTGCATTGTCATCAAAAATCAGACTGTTTTCAACAAATTGGGTGGAAATTTGCCAGCACCTTATTACACATTATGTCAACAAATAAACTCTGCTGTGAATGGTTACTTTTTGATGGCTGTCACTATCTGAAGTTCCTGCAATTTAATTGGTGCCGACAAAAATATATCTGGGAAGTGAAAAACTACATCATTATGTCAGGTGTCTGTTGAGTTTGGAGCACTGCAGAGGCTGCAACTCGCACAACCTTGTCAGGCTATGTCTTTGATGTGTTAGTGATCACAAACCAGCTCATTATTCACATGTACACACAAAAAGGTGATTTAGTATTTCTGTTATGTTAAATGCTGTTCTTATTTACAGTCTAGCACAAGAATTGGAACTCCTAGAAGCTATTTACATTAGTGAGTTGACTGTGGATCAAAATGTAAGGTGGGTGAAAAGTTTGAAATTATGACAGCAGGGACCATCATCACAAGGTTTAAAATTGTTAGATACATGTTGATTGATTGGAAAGTGTAGGCAAATTTTACGATTCACATGCAACAGAAACTTACACCTAGTGACCAGATTCAAATGGAGAAAGTGGATTCAAATTGATATTTGACTATCTTGATCTGGTTTAAAGTGTAGTCATAATTGTAAGAGAATTCAAGCACATGCTTGATATTACATTACAAATGTTACTGCACAGTATGGTAATCCATCATTATTGTCTGTGTGTTTTAGTGATGCAGCTTGTAGTCTGAGTTTAGAGTTGCATCCCGCAACAGCTGAAGATATTGATACGCAATATGTCCGTATAACATTGGTTCTAAAGTTATCAGAAAATGTGAGTAATATTCTTGTATTGTCACTTTAAGGGGTTAGGTTATTCAGTTAATTAGATTCTGCTGTGTATACATGTTGCTCGACCAACGATCAGAAGTTTTCGACAATGAAAATTTTGTTACGCAAATAATATCCTAATAAAATATGCAGTTAACAGTTGTTTGTGTTCATTGTAAAATGTTGTGGAAATTAAAGATAAGATAACCAGTTTTTTTAGCTCCGCTGTCGACTTTGTCGAGCGGAGCTTATCAGATGAGTGATTGTCCGTCGTCCGTGTCAACGTTTTACTTTTTCGACTTCTTCTTGAAAACTACAAGCCTCAATGCTTTGATACTTGGTGTATATGTACCTTGGGTAGACCTCTTTCAGATTTCATTTCATGATGATATCTTCAATTCTCTAATTTTGGTGAATATTTTTCTCATTTTTGGTAAAAAGTGATATATTTGACTTCTTTCAAAAAAAAACCCCAAGTCCGATTACTTTGATATTACATATATAGGTACTACATGTGAACCTCTCTCAGATTTGTTCATTTTGTGATGATATCTTTAATGATCCAATTTTGGTCAATATTTTTGTCATTTTTGCTAAAAAGTGATATTTTTGACTTCTTGTTGAAAACCGCAAGCCCAATTGCTTTGATATTATACATATATGTACTACACGTGGGCCTTTTTCAGATTTGTTCATTTCATGGTGATATCTTTAATTATCTAATTTTGATGATTTTTTTTGTCATTTTTGGTGAAAAGTGATATTTTTGAATTCTTGTTGAAAACAGCAAGTCCGTTTGTTTGATACTATACATATTGTTTATTTTCTAATGATATCTTTTGTTCTTTAATTGAAATGTGCATTGCTAATAGCGGAGCTATCTCAGCCGAGAGGCTGCTTGTTTTTGTTTATCCATAATGTTCCCCTTAACCTGGCACATGTTGAATGAAAACTGGTCACTTGATAGTTTTTGAGGGTGTGCTTTCTTAACTGCCTGAATATCCTTGTTGCTTAAGTCACTCTACTATTACACAGTCCAAAAGCGGGGCTTACAGATAGACCTCTGTGCGTGCGTCTGTGTGTCCATGCATGTGTGTGTGCGCCTGTCCGGACCTATAATATCTTAGACATGCCTGGACCAATTACATTTAGACTTCACACATACATCATACATAATATTATACATATGCACAATTTGTTTCACGATCTGATCCAAGATGGCCAAATGCGGCCATTTTTGAACTGAAATCAAGCATTTTTGGCATTCCGGAACTAGATCTTGGCTGTTTAAGAGATGGATTTTGTTCAAAGTTGGTATATACATTGAACATTCTGGGACCTTGATGCACATCATTTTGTTTTTCAGATCAAATTTAAAATTGCCGACTGGTGGCCATTCTGTTTCAATCAATGCAGTTCCAGTGCCTCTGACATGCTTTGACTGATTATGTTAAAATTGTATATATTCATTATACATCATGTCATAGATATACAGATGTATTCAAAATCACTGACTGGTGGCCATTTTGTTTTAATTATTACTGTTTCAGAACAATATCTCTTAATTATTGACAAGTACATCGTTTGATGATCACATACAAGATAACTGAATGTGAACCATTTTAATTTTAAAAAATCATCATAATCAAGCATCTGGATCCATATTTCTGGCATGTTTATATTCCAACTATATTACTAATCACAAAAACTATATGTCTTAAATTTGATAACTAACGGGAAATGTGCCATGCATGGCTTGGTATTTCATAAATTAATACGGTTTTGATGTTCTTCTCACTGCCTTCGCATTGAAAGAGATCATGGTGTAATTGAGAGAGACGAATGTCTTTGCCCTCTTTGTGACATAGATGAAATTGAAAATGAGTTTCACTTTCTCCTTGTTTGCCCATATTACCATGAATTGCGAACCTCATACTTACACAATACATTTTATAATACCCCATCTTTTGATAAATTTATAGATCTTGTTACTTCTCAAAATTCTGACATTTTACAACCACTGGCTGCATACATCTTTCATGCATTGAAACTTAGGAACGAGATATGTGATTTTATTTAAATATTCTGTAAAATATTTTTATTTTTTGAATATTCTTCTTGTACGTGTAAATACTTTTATGGGTCGATGGCCTTAAATTTGTAAATAAAGACCATATATATATATAAATTAATACAATACTAACTAAAATACTGATGTTTTTTTAGTATCCTCAAACAGTGCCAGAAATTCTAATACAGAATTCAAGAGGACTTTCAGATGAACAACTTACAAGGTAAGATAAAATCGTAAAAATCCTACGATGTTGCATTTTATTTGAGTGATCTTGGTATACACAAGTAAATCATTTGATATGTCAGAGGTTTTGTGTGATAACCCTATTTCTCTGCATAGTTTCAGATGTTTTTATGCTATGGAGTCAATGGAGAGAATTAAATTTGATTTTTAAAACATGTTTTCCTTTGTGAAAATAGCTGCATACACTGGTAATTTCCTGTGAACAACAGACAGACATTCAAGCATTTGTACTCAATACTATTATTTTCAACTGTAAAACAATAAATGCATTTGTTTTGTTCATGTGAGTTTATCAATTTGGCCACTCAGAATATTTTTTATGTAATTGCGTTGTAAGATCTAAAATGCTTTATAAATACAAATGTTTTTTGGGTGATAGTAAGATCAATTTAATACTACTGTAAAATCATTAATTATTCATTGGGTTTTAATTTTGTTGTTTTTACTGTTAACTATAATCCGCTGAGTTAAATCCACATGAACTTGTCCAATTAATAGAAATCTTTGTTTTTCAGGCAAATTCATGAACCCAGTGATTATGCTCAAAACAGTGAAATTAAACGTCATTGAAAATAAATGGTTTTACAGTATTTTATGTTTAAAAGTTTAAATATCAGTGTATGTGTATAGTATAGTTTTTGTGTGTGTCAAAGTAATCCGATAGTGTTAAATGTGTCAGTTAAGTCTATGGTGGAGTGCGATTTCACCACAAAGAGATGTGTTTTTTGTGTATATAACTTGTATATGATTACATTTCTCCACTGTGATTGTATTATTATAATTTGAAACTTTTATACTTTCAGTCTACATGCCAAATTATATCATCTCGCTGAAGAAAGGCAGGGATGTGCCATGTTGTATGAACTCATTGAAGTAAGTATACAATGATGTGTTTTATATTAGACTTAGTCTAAAGCCTATGACAATTCCCTGCAAACAGAAGGTTTATAATTTATCTCACTGGCGATGTGGTCCAGAACAGAATTGTGTATAAAATTCGAAGTGTTCCCTTAATATACGAGAAACACTCTGTAAATTGTGGTTGATGAGAATCTCGGATCTTTTTTTTCTTGAGGCCTATATAACAACAAAGGTCCAACTTTTAGTAGGATTGCATAAGGTTTTCATACATGATTACAATGTATGTCTAAAAAAATTGCAAAATGCAGGTTTACCTACGAACTTGTTTCAAGTTCAAATCCTTGAAAATTATTGCTAAAGAAACAATCAGTCAGTACAAAAATCTTGCCTATGCAACAGATCATAAAGAGGTGAAAGGTCACACAGACAATGCAAGTGACCTGTGAGGGCGCTAATCAGAAATAGCTAGGTAAATGCCCTATTTATGAATATATATATATATATATATAGTTCTGGTACACAAGCAAAAGGCCACTCAATGCAGTCAACACTGTATATTGTGAATATATTTCAAAACATTCTCTTCATTGAGACTGAAATCCAGGTCATTCTAAATTAACTCCTGGTCAGTATGACAGTGGCGCTTTGATGCACTATATATATAATAAAGAAACAAAGACACCTAAAATCAATTCCAAAATTATTTTAATAAACCAAAAGTTTAATAATAAAGTCACGTATGTAACAGCTCTTACCAAAATTGATGTGGAACCATTTTGACCATACAGCAGTAAACAGAGATCAGAAATCAATTTGCATATTCAGACTCAGGAACAATGACACCACAATTGTTTGCACACAATGGCACAGATCAGTACAGTAACACATAGTGGCTGTCTCACCAAAAATATCAAAGTGTGAGTCACACTGTAAGTGACTTTTAAAAACAAATTACAGAATTATATTAATGTTTTATGATATACCTGACAGCTGTCAATAGACTTCATTTGAATCTGTAACAATTTATATCGTAATAGCGAACTCGATGTCAAAAAAACGAAGCAGAAATAAAGAAACAGATCTCCACTATAGAGGGCCCCAATCATAATATAATATGGTACTTAAATACTGTATAGTAATTGCTAATGGCTTAATGTCATCATTTCTTCCGATTCTCAGCTTGCCAAGGAAAGTTTGACTCGCAATAACCTTCCATCTGTACAGTGTGTGATATGCCTGTATGAACTGATGGTAAGTATACGTATCTACACACATTCCCACCTTCCAAATTTTGTTAATGATTTAGTTGAAACTAAAGATGTTATGTGACGTCATTTGAACTATTCATCTACTTTGAAAACTTGCTATAATGAATAATATGACAAAAGATCTGTTAATTATTAATTTGGATTGGATTCATCCGTCCATCTGTTAGTACCTAGTCGTTTATTGATATCTGTTCATTCGGAGCCATCTCCTTCTGATTTTTTTCAAACTCAGTACAAAATCAATACATATTTATATGGCCAATAGGCGGCTATTTCTGTTTTTGTTAATGTTCATGCTTATCTAGCCTGCCAAGCCCAATTTTGATCAATTCGTGCGTTATAAATTATATATGAGCATAGTACTATACATTTGTCATGGAAAGAAGATTGATTACATGTATATCTTTTTAATGTTACTGACATTGTCTAGTTTGAAACACACTAGAATCCTGAAACATTGGTTTTGATTTTGCATGAATTGCCTTACAAAAATTATTAAGAAAAACAAAAAAAAACTGATACCCAGTATGAAGTAGCACATACCGTACTTGACTGCGTTAGCGCCCATGCCAGGGCAAGCGCCCACCCCCCACTTTTGCGCAATTTTTATATTTGGGGTCACATTCGGCAAAGCGCCCACGCCTTCAAAATGCAAATAATTTAAAACTTGGTCTTGCGGTACGAATCTTGGTAATCGTTTTTTATATGATACAGCGTGGATATTGACCGTTGTGAACATGTTGTGAATGCGTAGAACACGGTAACCGTGCGTAAACTATGTTTCGACAATGACCTGTTAATACAAGTAAAATGCGGTAAATATTTCATGCCATATACAGTTTACCTCTCAAAAATGGCTAGTTACTAGTTTTTTGGAAAAACTATGTCGTTTTTTCGCTGAAATCAATTCCAACAGATCATACTTCAACATCGATAATTCACTTCCGCATTGTGTTACCGGAAAGTCTTCGGGAATTTCCAAAGAATTGCGTCAGTACAACACAGCATTGTGATTGGTTAATAACCAACTTGACCCATTAGGTCAAAGGACGCCGCTGCAGGTGAAATATGCAAATGCATCATGGCGGAAAGTGATTTTCATCGAGAGTTTGCATACAATCCAACACCTTCGTCAGTGGAGATAATATGACAATTTTTACTTCAACTGTGTTCCAACAGACTCAAATGTTTTTAATTTCGTAAATTCTGGTGGTACATAATTAATATTGTAATAAAATGTGCATATTTTTTGTGATCATTTCTGTTTCTTCATTGTGAAAATCAATGACGACTCAACTAATTTCGTAATTTGATTTCCCTTAAAGACGTAATCTGTCACTTGATGAATCAAATTTTTCATTTGCACTCTTTTTCGAGGGGGGTGCTCGGGTAAGCGCCCACCCCTAAAAAATCGTGATTTTCTGAGTTGAGGCCCCTGGGCGATAACGCGGTCGAGTACGTATTACAAGTTTAACTGTTCATTCATTTAATGATATATGTAAACATGATGCTAGATCAGATTAATGTATTTATTCATAAATGATTGAAGTTGCTATCCCTCAAGCTAGTTTCAGTTACAGAGGTTGATAAGTTGTTGTACACCACAGATTGACAATATAAGGTTACTACGAAGATACCTCAAAGTATGTCAGAGTGCATACTTTGAGGTATCTTCATAATAACCTTATTATTATACATCTTTTCCTACCAAGGATACATCATTGGAATGCCGAAATTCAAAAAGTGTAGAACATAATCATCAAACTTCTTTGTATGGAGTCCGGTCAAACCCTGGTGGCAGCCATGTTTGTTTGACGAAGTACATTTGTCCGTGCAACCGTGTGTCTGTCCGTTCGTGCGTTTGTCCAGAGTCATATTTCAGAATTCGTTGGTCCGATTCCATTCATTCTTTGCATGTGCCTAGTCTTTTATGTGGGACATATGCACATGCAGTGGTTTAGTGATTCGATTCAAAATGGCCGACTGGCAGCCATCTTGTTTTTTCTTGCTTTGTCAGTTTTCATTCAAAATTGATACATAGATTATACATTTTAGGATACATGTCCATGACAATCTCTTTAACAATTGAATAGAAGATGGCCGACTGGCAGGCATCTTGTTTTTTTTTTTTAAATGTGGTATCTTGCACATGCTTTGTCAGTTTTCATTCAAATTTGGCAAATACTTTATACATGTTAGGATACATGTCCATGACAAAATCGGATCAAGGATGGCTGATTGACATCCATCTGACTTTTTGGCCTTTACTACTATATTTCCAAGATTTATGTACCATTTTCATTCGTAATTGGCACATACATTATACATGCCACTTTGTCGGTTGTTTTTATTTTTGGCCATATTACTATATCACCCATGTATTATTTTCATTGATATTTAGCATGTCATAAATGGATACATGTACATGTCAATTCAATTTGCAATTTGATCAAATATGGCCGACTGGCAGCCATCTTGTTTGTTTAAAATGTGATAACTTGGACATGCTTTCACTTGTGATCTATGTTTTTCTTTGCTATGTCTTAAACTGGAGCAGCCGTCATGCAACACATGTTCGAATTTGATGTAAATAAACAATCTGTTGTATACGCCACTTTGGACTCCAGTTTCAAGGACACGCTCGCAACAACCCCTCCACTTTAATATAACAAGCATGAAAAGAACTTTCACAAATTTAACGAGAACTGTGTCATTTTCAATGACTTGTTAGTCCCCGTTCGGACGCAGTCCGAAAACGGGGACTTATGTTTTGCCCTGTGTGCGTCCGTGCGTCCGTGATCACCTGTATCTTGAACATGCATGGACCGATTAAGTTCAAACTTCACTCATACATCACACCTTATATGGGACATATGCACATGCATTTTTTTCATGATCCGATTAACGATAGCCGAATAGCGGCCATTTTAAGGCCGAAAATGCATCAAAATCGCACATTTTCACCATTCCGGACCCGGATCTCAGTTATGCATGGACGGATTTTGTTCAAATTTGGTACATACATTAAACATAATAGGACCTTGATGCACGTCATTTTTTTTTTTGGATCGGGTTCGAAATGGCCGACTGGCGGCCATTTTGTTTTAAAGAATTCAGTTCTGGATCCGTATCCGAGACATGTCTGGATTGATCAAGTTCAAACTTCACACACACAAGGTACATCATGTCACAAATATGTATGTGCATTTGTTTCATGATCTCATTAACGATAGCCGAATAGCGGCCATTTTAAGGCCGAAAATGCATCAAAATTGCACATTTTCACCATTCCGGACCCGGATCTCAGTTATGCATGGACGGATTTTGTTCAAATTTGGTACATACATTAAACATAATAGGACCTTGATGCACGTCATTTTTTTTTTGGATCGGGTTCGAAATGGCCGAGTCTTTTTTTTTTTTTGGATCGGGTTCGAAATGGCCGACTGGCGGCCATTTTGTTTTAAAGAATTCAGTTCTGGATCCGTATCTGAGACATGTTTGGATTGATCGAGTTCAAACTCACACACACAA